TCCGATGCTCCGTCCGTTTTAGGTGCGTCCTGCTTCGCGGACTCTCCTGTCTTTTTAGGTGCTTCAGGTTTCTCGGTTGTCTCCGGGTTCTTGGGTACTTCAGGCTGCTTCTCTCCCTCTGATGTAATTTTGTCTGTCAAAGGTTTCTTCTGGACTTTTGCTTTTCCCCTTCGGTAGTAGAAACGAATGAGCATGATGAGGAGCATGAGTCCTATGCTCCCCGTGACTCCAAGGACCGAAGGCAAAATGTATTGTGCGTGATCATATCGCGAGGCTACATACAACATTGCTACGTAGAAACCGAGAACGCCCACTGTAGCGGGGATCCACCATTTATTCCTGCATATAGTTCGCGCTAGTGTACTACAAAGTCCCCTAGTTTTCTCGCTCGTTTCTTTAATTTGTGCCTTCTTTTCTGAAGCTACTACTAACCCCTCTGATCCATCTTTGGGCTTCGATTTTCCGGAATCTGTGCCCGTCGCAGTTGCCTTCACTGGGCCTGCACTAGGAGTCGCGGGTGCTTTATTTTGCTCTGGTGTTTGTTTATCCGTTCCATTCTTCACTTCAGTTCCTTGTGCCTTCTTTTCCTTCTGTTCACTTTGTACTTCAGTCTGTGGTGACTGCGGTAACGATCCTTCTGATGCAACATTCGTTGTTGGTTTACCGGACTTTCCTGGCTTTTGCCCGGATGCGAGTTTTTTATCATGACCCTTACCAGGACTGAGCAGTAATGTATTATTTGGTGCTGGTGCTTGCATATCCAACTCGACCGTCAGCAATCTACTCATTCTGACGCCGAGAATGTCCTGTTGCTCGGCCGAATGTTTCCATGATGTGCCGAATTCATTCGCCTAACATATAAGAACAAAAGGGAAGGATGTATTTGAGGGCGTTATGCAATGCACAAGTATTTACATAAAATAAGGGAAGAAAGAAGCGTTTTCAATTGTTAGGAGCACGAATAACGTCATAATCATAGATGTAAATGCCCATTCTACGCAAGCGTTCATTATTGTGTCGTACGTGTTCGGGATATTGCCAGGAGTACAAAATGAAGCTGCATATGGAAAGTTTGAGAGCGAACATCATTTTGTTTGTTTTCTTTTTTTTTTTTCAGAATAAATGAGGTTCCTAAGAAATGTATTTCTTTGTACTTATAAAGAAGGGGATTATATGATTATTGTTATATG